AACTAAATTTTTAGTATTTTTTTTTCACACAAATGGAGCTTTCTTTTGGTGGTATTTAATCACCACTGGATTTTTTTTTTTATTTTTTGCTAAGTAAACCGAAAAAAGGCCAAACATTTTGAAATAAAACGTGTTTTTTTTTTTTCTATTATAAAATTTTGCCACTAAATAATTATTCTTAATGAATTTAGGCCACAATGTATTCTTCTACATTTCTTTGGTGAAATAACCCAAATCAGTGTTAATTATTTAGTGTGTAGAAAAGTTACAGAGTCCACCAAACTATGACATATACAGTGTCTGAAAATCGATCAATCCTGATGTACCTCCTTTTGGGAGGACGTAATGTGGCATCAATCCAGAATGATGAAAGCCTCACCCAGTCGTCAAATTGCTATAGGCCAGGCAGGATGTGGTTAGGGGGTGAAATGCAAGTAACCAGCACACAAAGTTTACAGCATGGGTCATCAAAATACATTGAGGTATGAAGAAAACAGTATAAGAGTTAATACGGTGTGAAGACACAAGTAGTTGCCAAGGGTAACAAAGATTTCGGTAACAATCTGTCACAAGTGTGTACATGTGGCAGGTGGGATAGCCTCTTGCAGGAGTTGTTGTCAGCACTCTCTCTCTGTGAGCGGGTCTCCTATAGCAATGGGAGCAGATCATCAATGCAAAGGTCCCCAGCCTGTCCACAGATAAGAAAGAGGAGGAGTCAACTAATTGCATGCATTGAGTTGCACGGTCAGGCAACACTGCACCCAAATGAACTTTACATCCTTTTTTTCGGTGGTATTTGATTGCCTGGGTGTTTTTAATTTTTTGCGCTATAAAAAAAAAAGAGACCGACAATTTTGAGAAAAAAACTATATTTTTGACTCTTTGCTATTAAACAAGTGCAGTAAAAAAAAATTGAATCTAATTTCATCATAAATTTAGGCTAAAATGTATTCTGCTACATGTAAAAAAAAAATCCCAATACTTAAATAAGTAAATTAATTGGGGGGAACTGACTTGGTGTCAGTGACATTCCCAGTGACACCAATACAATGATCAGTGCTAAAAAAGCACTGACACTGTACTAATGACACTGGGCAAGAAGGGGTTAACATTTGGGGGCAATCAAAGGGTTAACTGTGTGATGGGAGTGTTTTACTAGGGGGGGGGGGGATGTGCTTCACAGTAAAGCACACTGATCAGGATGGCTGTACTCAGTCATCCTGAGCAGTGTGCTCAAACTGACAGGGAGGAGGGCTGTTGGTAAACAATGACATCCCCAGTGACACCAATACAGTGATCAGTGCTAAAAAAAAAACACTAAAGCACTGACACTGTACTAATGGCACTGAGCAGGAAGGGGTTAACATGAGGGGCGATCAAAGGGTTCACTGTGTGCTATTTTACATAGTGCTGTGTTCATGTGCTTCACTGTGCACAGCCATCCAAAGCAGAGTGCACAAGCTGACAGGAAGGAGAACTGTTTTGTTTACAAACAGTTCTCCTCCCCATCGAAGATACTCTCGGCAATCACTGGGGTGCCGGCTAGTAATCACCGGCTGGGACCCGGTTATTAGCAGCTGCGGCTGCGAACGGTTGCGTGGGGTAGGGCCCGGTAATGCAAAATCACGTGTATACAGTGGGGATCGAAAGTTTGGGCACCCAAGCTAAAAATTTGTATTAATGTGCATAAAGAAGCCAAGGAAAGATGGAAAAATCTCCAAAAGGCATCAAATTACAGATTAGACATTCTTATAATATGTCAACAAAAGTTAGATTTTATTTACATCATTTACACTTTCAAAATAACAGAAAACAAAAAAATGGCGTCTGCAAAAGTTTGGGCACCCTGCAGAGTTAATATCTTGTACTGCCCCCTTTGGCAAGTATCACAGCTTGTAAACGCTTTTTGTAGCCAGCCAAGAGTCTTTCAATTCTTGTTTGAGGTATCTTTGCCCATTCTTCCTTACAAAAGTCTTCTAGTTCTTTGAGATTTCTGGCCTGTCTGTCACGCACTGCTCTTTTAAGGTCTATCCATAGATTTTCAATTATGTTGAGGTCAGGAGATTGTGAAGGCCATGGCAAAACCTTCAGTTTACGCCTCTTGATGTAATTCCCCGTGGATTTCGAGGTGTGTTTAGGATCATTATCCATTTGTAGAAGCCATCCTCTCTTTAACTTCAGCTTTTTCACAGATGGCATCAAGTTACCATCCAAAATTTGCTGAAATTGTATTGAATCCATTTTTCCTTCTACTTGTGAGATGTTCCCTGTGCCACTGGCTGCAACACAACCCCAAAGCATGATTGATCCAACCCCATGCTTAACAGTTGGACAGAGGTTCTTTTCATTAAATTCTGTGCCCCTTCTTCTCCAAACGTACCTTTGCTCATTCCGGCCAAAAAGTTCAATTTTAACCTCATCGGTCCACAGAACTTGTTTCCAAAATGCATCAGGCTTGTCTATATGTTCATTTGCAAAGTTCAAACAATGATTTTTGAGGTGAGGACGTAGAAGAGGTTTTCTTCTGATGACTCTTCCATGAAGACCATATTTGTACAAGTATCTCTTTATAGTGGAATAGTGTACCACAACTCCAGTGTCTGCCAGATCTTTCTGGAGGGATCGTGCAGTCAAGCGTGGGTTTTGAATTGTTTTTCTCACAATCCTGCGAGCTGTTCTGTCTGATATTTTTCTTGGTCTTCCAGATGTTGCTTTAACTTCCACTGTTCCTGATGACTGCCATTTCTTAATTACATTCCGAACAGAGGATATTGACATCTGAAAACGCTTTGCTATCTTATTATAGCCTTCTCCAGCTTTGTGAGCGTCAACTATTTTCAGTTTCAGTTTTCTAGACAACTGCTTAGAAGAACCCATGGTGCTGATTGTTGGGGCAAGGTCAGATGAGTCTGGGCATTTAAAACCTTTGAGATTGACATCACCTGGTCTTCCCAGACGATGATTGAGAACAATCTATGACACTGGCAGGTCTCAGCTTTGCAAAGGGGGCAGTGCATGCTATAAATTCTGCAGGGTGCCCAAACTTTTGCTGACGCCATTTTTTTGTTTTCTGTTATTTTGAAAGTGTAAATGATGGAAATAAAATCTAACTTTTGTTGACATATTATAAGAATGTCTAATCTGTAATTTGATGCCTTTTGGAGATTTTTCCATCTTTTCTTGGCTTCTTTATGCACATTAATACAAATTTTTAGCTGGGGTGCCCAAACTTTCGATCCCCACTGTGTATATATATATATATATATATATATATATATATATATATATATACGTGATTTTGCATACCTGTGGCATTATTTCTGCTATAGGGCAGTCAGAAAGCGGTTAAAGTGGTTCTTGACCCTGTTTGAAAAAAATTAAAAGGCAGCAGCTACAAGTACTGTAGCTGTAACCTGTCCAGGGGTCCAGTGCTTTCCTCACCTGAACCAGTTCTTTGCCAGTCTCCAGGTCCTTGGGGCATGTTTGTTGTGGGCAGCCGGCTATGAATCTTTGTTAATGGGACATGTGAAATGTCTCAGAATAGTATGGGGGGAAGAGGGGGGAAAGAACTTCTGGGGATTGCTGTGGCAATCCGACTGGAAGTGGGAGCAGGTACTCTCTCTCCCATCCCCCCAAAAAGTGCCAAAAATAGAATGGGAGTGGGGGGGGGGCATAAAGAAGTGGAACTTCCTCTTTAGGGTGAAGTTCCATTTTAAGCTGACTGAATAATAAATAATTTTGTAATGGCAACTTTTGGAATTCCAGGTAAAACTCCGGACATGAACTTGAGGAAAACAAACCTTTTATTTACCAGTGCTGGATGACTTAGCAAGGACTCGTGTCTGCAAGCTAAGTGTCTTGAAAAAGTATCTTACAGGGTATACATCTCAGCAATTATGCCACAATGCATATATTTCCTCTTTCACTTTCTGTATATTTAAAAGAATCTCTAAACCGTGCAGGATATGGCCTTGCTAGATAAACTTAAGCTAAAAATAAGGGTACCAGCTACAGACTGGAACACATTATTCCACAGGAAATAAGGGACAGGGGGAAGTGAGCTGATGACCTTGCAAACAGATGCTGTTATAATTGTTAAAGTTTAAAGGGAACTCAGCAATATTTGGGCGCTGCCACACTTTAATTGCCAGATTGTGAGTACTTAATCATAAGCCCTCATGCACACTAGACGTTTTGATAACACTGGTAACGTTAACTGTGTAAACTCACATTAAAAACACGAGTTTTCAGCTTTTTTTTAGCGTTATTGCATTAGTGTTTAGTGGCATTTTGCCGTGTTTAGCTGCGTTTTCCCCATTTGAATTTTTAGTCGTTTTTTTGACCCAAAAAAAATTGGGGGGGGGGGGTAAAAAAAATGTCCAAAAACACCAGATTGTGGTGTTTTACCGCTTTTTGCCATGTTTTTCAGCGTTAGAGCATTTTTACAGCTAAAAAACTCCTCTAGAAACTAGTCCTGGGTTTTCAGGTACTTGGTACCAGGTGCTTCTTAAGGCTAAAATTGTGACACCAAATGAAGTATAGTATCATATTAGGGCAGTATAGTGACAGATTAGGGCAGTATAATAACAGATCTGGGCAGTATAGTGTCAGAGTAGGAAAGTATAGTGGCATATTAGGGAAATATTAGGCAAGCATAGTATCATATTAGGGCAGCATAGTGAGAGATTAGGGCAGTATAGTGTCAGATTAGGACATCATAGTGTAAGATTAGGGTAGTATAGTATCATATTAGGGTAGTATAGTGACAGATTAGGGAAGTATAGTATCATAATAGGTCAGTATAGTGTCAGATTAGGGCAGTATAGTGGCAGATTAGGGCAGTATAGTGACAGATTAGGGCAGTATAGTGTCAGATTAGGGTAGTATAGTGTCAGATTGGGGTAGTATAGTAGCAGATTTTGGAAGTATGGCAGGGTTTAAAATTTCAAGTCCTGAGCTACTAGCCAGGCCTAAGAGTTACTCGCCACCAACAAACACACACAAACAGAGATACCTGTACACACACACAGACATGTACATACACACACACACACAGAAACATGTACACACGCACAGAGGCACATGTACACACACACACACATACAGACACATGTATACACACACAGGCACGTACAGACACGCATACACACAGATACATGTACATACACAGAAATACACACGCACATATGTACATACACACAAACACATGTACATACATACACACAAACACACATGCATGTACATACATACACACAAACACACATGCATGTACATACATGCAGACACATGTACAGATACACACATGTACTGTACATACACACAGACACATGTACATGCATACACAGACACACACAAACATACACACATGTACACACACACACACGCTGTTAAGTGCTCTCTCCTCTCCCCTGAAGCCACCACTGGCTGACATAGAGGATCATGTGACCAGCGTGAGCTGAAATTAGGCACACACACACCCCTATAAAAAGTTGCAGTACTACGTTCTTCACTCACAGAGGCGGGTACTGCACTCTAGGGGGAGGCAGAGAGCACAGCACATACTCCTTCCTTTGCTTTCACTGCGCTCAGCTATTGAGCAGTCTGACGGCTCCCAGTGCCACTGACAGATCCGGCCTGAGCTCCGAGCCTGCTCAGCAAGACAGCCCTGTGGGACACACTCACCCCACCATAATTTCCACTTGCCATTGGCGAGCAGGCGAGTGGAAATTTCAAGCCCTGAAGTATGGTATCATATTAGGCCAGTATAGTGGCAGATTAGGGCAGTATAGTGACATATTAGGGCAGTACAGTGTCAGATTAGGGTAGTATAGTGGCAGATTATGGAAGTTTGGTATCATATTAGACCAGTATAGTGGCAGATTAGGGCAGTATAGTGTCAGATTAGGGTAGTATAGTGGCAGATTATGGAAGTTTGGTATCATATTAGGCCAGTATAGTGGCAGATTAGGGCAGTATAGTGACAGACTAGGGCAGCATAGTGTCAGATTAGGGTATTATGGTAGCAGGTTGGGCTGACAGTGTGCTCAGTCACTTACCCCATGGCTGGAGATTAAGACTCCTGGGGCTGCTGTGTCCGATCCTCCCTTTTCTTCTTCTTGAACTTCAGGATCAGCCAGAGTGAAGTAGTCTGTGGAAGGAGTGGAGGAGGCAGTCACACCCCCAGCCCTGCCCACCAACTTCACCTGCCGCGGGAGAGATTGAAGATTGAATCAACTAAACAACTAAAATCTGGGGGGGAGGGGGCGTAGCCCTCCCCAGCACCCCCCTATATCCGGCCATGCTTTATAATGCTTTAAATGTAATTTAAAATGTACTCTTAACTTAAACTCTTAAAAAGAATACCATGAAGGCTAACCCTAATAAAACCACCACAGGATTTGGTGAATAGTGATTAACTTTCAAAGAACCCAAATTTAGTGTGTAGGCAGGTACAGTCTATTTTCTCCACTGTGGGCGACGCTCAACCGCAGTAGTATCACAGCCTGGAGAGGAAGTCAGAAGATACCTGGTTTCTCTATGGTTTCCTGATCCCTTGAAGCAGCATTCCAGTTGGTTATACTGCGTCCAGGTGAACTCTGGCCATCCCTGTCCAGGTTTTGGCACGCATTGGCAATGTGGCTAGTTTAGGGAAAGTTACCCTGTCTAACAGGGAAAGTGATTAACGACTGGGAAAATTTCAAGATGAACAGGGACTTGCTAACCTCCAAGGACGCCGTGCCTTTTTGGGACTAGACCAGCCAGGCTGCCCTCTGAAACAGATGCAGTTGGTGAATTTCTGCATTTGAACTGAACTGTGAGTGTTTCCATAAGCAGCACTCTCCCGCTGTAGTTTGGTATTCTCTTCAATTCAAGTTTCTAGTTTTATTGCAACTGGACACTGTGTCATTGCTGCTGCCATACCATGCTGCACCTACACGCAAGCGATGAATCACACTGAAATTCATGGGGAAGAAGGGGCAAATCCTGTTAGTAAATTCTGTTTGTTTTGGGGTTAATAGGCAAGCTACTGTGAAGGAAAAAAATATGAGAAGCTGGACACTGACATGGGAGGCATGTGCTAATGCCAAATACAAAAAAAAAACACTGTATAGCAGAGAGAGTACTTTTCATATGGCTTCATAGGTAACATGGAAGAAACACAGATCCTTTTAATTACAGGATTGGGGCATGTCATAAAGCTGTAAGTGGCATTACAAAACAGTATGTTTTCAAAGACAACTTCAGCAACAGTGTACTTTGGCATCATATATTTGTGGAAAGTATTTATATTATAATTAGCTTGGCTTGTGTACTACAACCCCCCTCGTAAGGGCCACTAGATTTGATTGGATCCCTCTATGCTTGCACGGCCAGGCAACATGCATTTATTCCACACTTGTATCCTAAGTGTCAGTAAAACAGTCCTTGAGCTGGTTATTAGTTTTTATTAAGGGGTTAACAACTTGGATGGGGTCTAGGGGTATATGGGATGCCGAAGGAACTGTAGAACTCAAGGACAAACTTCTTAACAACTATGTAGAAAAATGGTGGACTGGCAAAATAACGCAAATATAGTGCTGTCCCTTTTTTCGGTGTACCTCAACAGATCCTGGATATATAGGGAATATTTTAGGCACCCATATTTTTATCACTTCCCTAAGGAGCATAAGAATCCTTTACACCCACCAAGAAAACCTTTGTATGTCAGAGATTCCTTACAGCTACTAAACATTCTCAAAAAATTACTACTGGGAACCCATCTATCTCTGGATGATCAATCACTCTATACCTCCTTCCACTATGAGGGTGGTCTCACTGCCCTCACTAAGGAATCCCATCTAACCCCCCACGCAGGTCCGTTTCATCGTGGAGGGGACACGCTTCTGTTTGGAGCATAACTATTTCTCCTTTCAGGGTGATTTCTTCCTCCAGGTATGGGGCACGGCAATGGGTGCTTCCTTGCACCCTACTATGCCAATCTCACCCTTGGTTGGTTGGAAGAGTCCCGTATCTGGAGGAACAATCCCTTTGCCATCCATATCATCCTCTGTTGATGCTACATCGATGATATCATCGTTATCTGGGACGGCCCCCCCTCTATGTTTGAACTTTTTATGCAGCATTGCAATGACAATACATTGGGCCTTTCCTTCACCCATGTGTGTGACCCTTCTCACCTGGTGTTCCTTGACGTGTAGTTAGGCCATGTCAATGGAAACATCTTCTCCAAAACTCCATTCAAGCCCACCTCTGGTAATTCTTATTTACACTCTCTGAGTTGTCATCATCCAAGGTGGGTAAACAACATTCCCAAGGGACAGTTCAGCCTGCTCTGGAAGAACTGCACCTTGGATCAAGTCTACTCTTCCCAAGGTCAAATCCTCAAGAAAAGATTTGACCAGGCTCTTGTCGAGGCATCCTATCAGGAATGTTCCACCATTCGCACCAAGGCTTCTAAAACTGAAATGACCAGAAGGTCAGACATTAAATTCATCACTCCATAGCAGGGATTTTGCTAAAAGAACCCAAGTTGGGGCCCATTTTCCCTAGCAGACCCAAGTTTGTTTACAGGAGGGCCCCTAATATTAAAAACAAAATTGCCCATAGTAGAGTACCATTTACCAAGAAACCAACATCTCATTCCTTGTAAAATGTGCAAGTTTATGGATCATCAGAAAAAAAGTTGTAAGGGAAAAGTATACCCCATTAGCTCTTTTTTCTCTTGCTCCATGGATCATGTAATTTATTGCCACTCCTGTTCCTGCAACCCTCTTCTATGTGGGCCGGGCAGTTCAGATGATCCAGGAACGATTTGGCAGGCACAAGAAGTCGATTGAAGAGGTCAACATGGGTCACATGGATTATTTCATTTCTGCTGCCAGTGGTCCCTTTTTTATTCCTGTATCTTCTTTCTTGCTAACTTTATTAGTTATTTAGTGTTAACACATGTTTCACATGCGTTTTAGGGAAATGGAATTTTGTTTCTTTTTTATTTCCTTTAATTCTATCATGTCATTCCTCATTTTTCCTTTTCTTTTTCTTCCTCCCCCTTTCTTTTTTCAGATCATGCAACACAGTTTTAAGTATCATGTATAGTCTGCACACTTACCAGGTCCCTGTACTCTTTTATTCCCATATATTGACAGATAGTTGCTTAATATATAATAATATATAATAATATTTATTTATTATTATTAATAATAATAATAATTATTATTATTTTTTTTAAAAAATATATGTCGTTTTATCCTTGTTCTCTGTTATATTTGCAGCACTTTCTAGTAATTGTTTACACATGTTTCTGTGTACACTTTGTGGATTGCCTACCATAACGTGCATGTTGATTGTAGTATTGTGACATTGCCTTGAATGTAGCGGCTCGGTCTTTGTGCCTTCCTCTCCCCTTTCCCCACCTCTCCCTTGTCTGCCCCAGTGGCTATTTAAACTAATAGCTATAGGCTTTCCCTATGCATTTGAAAACAAGGGCTGAGACCCTTGAAACGCGCTATGCTTGCCCCCTCCTGACATCATCTAAGGATACTGACAGCCGTCACCCTCACAGTGTGAGTGGAGACACCTCCAGCTCTTTTTAACCACACTATCTGCTGGCCTATTGGAGCTCATGCTGCTGCATATTTTGTGGCCATTCATTGCCTTTGTGTACCTTCAGCTGATCGGCTCTGGTGTCTCTACCTGCTGTGTCATTATCCACTGGTGGATTGATCATTTCTGACATCTAAGGCTGGCCATACACTATACAATTTTCTATTCAATTTCTGACCAATTTCCTTTAAATTTACCTTCAACTATGTAGTGCAAGGGTCTGCTTAATTGCATACAATTGAAATTGTTCAGGTTTGACCTCATATTATATGGTTTTTGGTATATCTAAAGCAATTTTCTAAAGAAAATTGTATAATGTATGGCCAGCCTAAGTGTGCTGCTTTTAATAAAGGTGTTTTTCACTTGGTAATAACCTCAGTGCCCTGCTTTTTACTATTTCCTGCTTTATGAGATGATCCTGCCCAGATTTTAAGGGAACTGCAAAGATGAACGTTCCATCCATCCATCTGCTTATCCATCCACATATCATTAATCAAACATCCATCCATCCATCCGATTCTTCATTCACTCCTCTACCATTCATCTACTATTGCAGTAATTGCTGCTATACAGACTATTAGTGTGTTTGTAGCATTACCCACTTAGGAGTCGCTGAGTTATTTTTGGGCTCCCTATCGTTCTGCACCCCTCTCTGAAAGCCCAACCCCTGCTGACACCACAGTACTCTTCTGACCAGAGTAAATTATCACCAGAAAATAGACTCGTACACAGGTTAGAGTGAACTGATAACTTGTTTTATTAAACTTGACAGTGAGCTCGGTAAAACAGTATAAAGTGGTATATGTGTATGTAATGGAAATTATCACTCTTAGCAACCCTAAGCAGAGAAAACAACACATACAGCCAAATCTCAATCAGCACTGGCAGGCCTGCTATTCAGAAGTTAACCCAGAACCTCAAGCCTAAGGTGTTTCTAGTCCCCAGTGAGCAAAGGAAACTATCAAAGGGTGAACTAGCTCATTTTGGGCCCTCGGGATCTGATGGCAAGGTTTAAATCTGAGATAGGAAAAGTGCTCTTTAATTAGGGTAGTCAATGTCCCTTCAAATGCAGGGAGAAATCTTCTGCACACTCGCTGGGGCCAAGTTGGAGCATTACAATGGTCCAGACCTTTTGAACTGGAAGAGATGAAG